GTCATTTTATAATCCAAAAACTCTGCTACTTTCCCCTCTCTTAGTGTTTATAGAATGACTGGCGACGGGGCCAGGACTGTCGTGGGAATTTCTTAAAAGAGAAATTATGGAACTTGAGATTAGCCATTTTCAAAGCAGTACGTCATTTCTTAGTATTAAATATCAAACTGCTATATTCATGGATCCCAAATTTAATCACACCCCCAATAAATATATAAACTCCCACACACATATTTATATTTATATATATATATTTAGTTTTTGTATACAATTTGTTACCCTTTATAAAAATTTGGGTAAATTACTAAATTATATGTTACAAAAAAAAAATATATTAAGAGTTAAATTGTAATTAAGTGGAAATTATCACAAGCATTTACATGGCTCGGATTACCGCAGAAGCCTCAAAATCTACACGAACCCGAAACGAATTGCAAATAAGCCTATAATCGATAATGGGCTGGGCCCGGATCAACCGACTTCATCATTTGTCCGTTGACCCGACTCGATGTGGACGCCCATCTCCTCCGACAAGCGGCAAATTAGCATATAAATCGATAATGGGTTGGGCCCAGGTCAACTGAGTGAATGTTTGTCCGTTGATTGGATGAGAAGCGGACCGAACAAATCCTCCTAAACCCCGATTTTCATTATCGTTTATAGAACCCTAGGCTTCTGTTTCTCTCTCTCTCTCTTTTCCAACTGAACCTCAGAACCGTGACGCCATGGTGAGTTCCTCGGCATCATTATGCTTTTGTTTCGAGTTGATTGATTACTGTGTTTCTAATTTTCATTTGAATTTTTTTGCGTGATTTCTTGTTGTTGGGGAATAATAGCCGCAAGGAGATTACATAGAGCTGCACAGGAAGAGGCATGGCTATCGCCATGACTACTTCGAGCGCAAGCGCAAGAAGGAGGCTCGTGAAGTTCACAAGCGCTCCGCCATGGCGCAGAAGGTCCGTCTGTTTCAATCGTGGAGTGCTTGAGTAGCGTATTTTGTTTTTCTGTGTTTTATGAACTGATTTTGTTGTCTTCGTTGGATTTGGATGAACAGGCTCTAGGTATCAAGGGTAAGATGCTTGCTAAGAAGAATTATGCCGAGAAGGTTCTCATGAAAAAGACGTCAGTATTCTACTTCTATTTCATTTGTGCCTCTGTTTTGTTTAATTTTTTAAAAATTGAGTTGTATTACAATATGTACTCATACATATCTTCTTTAATTCTGAGGAGGATATACTGTTCGTCTTGGTTGGTCAATCAAGTTTCGAAGACAAAATTTGCTAGAAATGATGTACTGTTAATTTTCCATGAACAACTAGCTAGCTGCAATCGGGCAGTTAATTTTCCTGTACATGTTTTTCGTAAAGAGAAACTACTAACAAAACTTTGTTATGCTCTTGACTTATCCGTTTTAGCTTCGTCATTAACGATTAGCAGATCTTCTTTTTGTTTCTTAATGTTTAGGGGATGGTTTTCTATTTTTTCTTTATTTGTCTAGTTGTCTTCCTAAGAGATACTGTTGTTCTATTGTTGAAAAATTTTGCTCTGGTTATCCCAAAATGAGATGTAGCTGTGGCATTGTCTGAGTGGTAGCCACTCAAACTCTTTTTTCCCGGAGATCTCAGATTCAAATGTTTCCCTACTTGCAATTAATCCAGAAAGAAAACTAAAGCTTCCAAGATATCATTCAATTGTGCTGTCAGGTTTTCCATTCCGGCATATTGTCTACTTTCTGGAGAAGTTGTGCCTCTAGAACCTTCATTATTTGGTTGCTCCATTTTCTCCTGTTAGTTTAGTTTTAAATGGTGATTTCTTAGAAGGTGCATTCAAGAGGTTGGTTTTACATGTTACAAATTGGAGAAACAACATATATGCCAACAAATTAATTTTGGGGTTAATGCTTGGTTGAATTGGACCCCTCTCATACTCTGTTCTCTTCCAACTTCTACAACTAGATGTTTTCACATGCTACGATCTTCTCATCAATGTATTCATGATCTGTTAGCTTGATGCCTTACTAATTCTGTTAATGTAACGCTATCCTTTCTACTGAATGCCAATATACTAAATGCTTTTCTTGTGGAAAATTATAATGTGAATAGGTTGGCCATGCACGAGGAGTCATCAACAAGGCGCAAGGTAGATGATCAAGTTCATGAGGGAGCTGTTCCAGCCTACCTTCTGGATCGTGAAAGTACGACACGTGCAAAGGTATTTGCTAATATATATCGATCAAGTAAATGAAAGTGGGTACCATGGCATTAGTAAATCCAATATATGCTTCATATAGGTTCTCAGCAACACTGTAAAGCAAAAGAGGAAAGAGAAAGCTGGGAAGTGGGAGGTCCCTCTGCCAAAGGTACGAGTGATTCCGAACTTGATTCTCCTTCATTTGC